ACAAAGACGGTGCCCATTGGCCTCTGTCTTTGGAAAGTATTTCAGCAAGCCCCTAGGCATGTGTTAAATTAGACGTCTGCCCCTCAGGCCAGTGCTTTAGAATAAGCAAATACACCTCTTTTACAGAAAGTCTGGGCATTTTTCAGTCAGCTGCCTTTGTGCTGGGCTCTGGGGTGGATGAATCAGTGCATGAGAGCCCTTTAAGAATGGTTTCATAGTTTGCTATAGCCTTGTGAGTCTTATGGACCCAAGCCACATTGGCTTTCAAAGCTAGATGTTTTGGAGGCTTATCTCTCAAGGGCTGGTCCTAAATGTTGGGATGCCTGGCATGGAGTTCAGACCCTTCAGTCCTCAGGGAGAAGCTCAGGGTTTTGAGTTCCCTCCCGATTGTGAGTTGTTGCACCAGGGGTGGGATTAATGGCAAGACTGTGTCTCAGCTTCTCCTACCCACTTTGATGTGGATTTTTTTTTTCTTATTTGGGTGATGCACCAGAGTCATTAAGCTAGTTTTGGTTTGTTTTTTGTGTGTGTGTTTGTTTATTTTTCCCAGAGGAAATTTTTCCGTAGGTAGCTATAGATTCAGGGCATACATGGAAAAGAGTGACTTCAGTATCTTCCTCCATGCCATCTTGAAATGGAACCCCTGGTCCTCTCTCTTCATTCTTATCTTTTTGATGTGCACTTTCCACATCTACCTTGCTAGAGGTAGTCTTTTCAGGGCTGCAGTTTCACTTTTGTTTCCCATCTCCTTTTCTCCATTTCTCCTTGTTACTACACAGATTTCTGCTCCTTTATCCGTATTTCCTTCCCTCTTATTCCTTTGGGTTTGTGTTCCTTTTTCCAGCTCTATCTCAAGTAGAATTCTTGTGTCACTTGCTGTATTTATTAGTTTGCCAAGGCTACTGAAACAAAGTACCGTAAACCAAGCTGCCTAAGCACAGAAATGCACTGTCTCACAGTTTAGAGCCTAGAAGTCCCAGATCAAAGTGTCTGTGGGGTTGGTTCCTTCTGTTGGCTATGAGGAGAATCTATGCTTCTCCCCTAGCTTCTGGTGGCTTGCTGGCAATCTTTGGGGTTCCTTGGCTTGTACGCACATCACCCTGATGTCTGACTTTGTGTTCAACTGGCATTCTCCTTGTGTGATCACATTGTTTTCCCTCTTGGTGTGTCTATATTCAAATTTCTCTCTTTTTATAGTAACACCAGTCATATCAAGGGTCCACCCTATCCCTGTATTGCCTCACCTTAATTACATCTGCAATCACCCTGTTTTCAAATAAGGTTACCTTCAGAGGTTGTGGGGAATTATGATTTCAACATTTGAATTTCAGGGTCAGGGGCCCAGTTCAACCTTTTGTTGGTGGTTAATTTTATGGGTCAACCTGGCTGGACCATAGTGCTCAGATATTTAGTCAAACATCATTCTGAATATTTTCTTTGAAGGACATTTTTAGATGCAAGTAACATTTAAATTGGTAGATTGAGTAAAGCAGATTACCCTCCATAATGTGGGTGAGCCTCATTCAATCAGTCAAAGGCCTTAAAAGGACCAAGACTGACCTCTCCTGTGCAAAAAGGAATTCTGCCAGCAGATGGTCCTTGGACTAGATCTGCAATTCTTGGGGCGCTTGGGTGGCTCAGTCGGTTGAGCAGCTGACTTCAGCTCAGGTTGTGATCTCAAAGCTTGTGAGTTCAAGCCCCGCATCAGGCTCTGTGCTGACAGCTCAGAGCCTGGAGCCTGCTTTGGATTCTGTGTCTCTCTCTCTCTCTGCCTCTCCGCCACTCACACTGTCTCTCTCTGTCTCAAAAATAAATAAACATTTAAATAAAATTTTCGATCTGCAATTTTTCCCTGAGCCTCCAGCCTGCAGTCTGTCCCATCAGATTTTGGACCAGCCAGGCCTCCATAATCACACAAGGCAATTTGTTAAAATCTCTCTCTGTTAACTTTTGTTTCTTGATAAGTATATTTGAAGATATAATTTCCCTCTATGCCTTGCTTTAGATGTGTCCCACAATTTGGCATTCAATCTTACTATTTCTTCATTTTTTTAATGATTTTTTTTTTTACTAATATGTTAGTTTGAAAATGTACAAGATTTTAAAACATTTTTTGTGAATTTATATTTGCATTGCCTTTTGGCTAGAGGGGAGGTTCTAGATCATAGTGAGCCCTTGGAATTTAGTCAGGTTTCCTTCTGGCCCAGTATATTTTTATAAGTGTTCCTCATATGCTAAAAAAGAATCACTCAAGCTTATTAATTTTATTGCCCAGGTATTCTACATAGCCACTTATTGTTTAATCTGTTTAATTTATTGGTTTCTGAGAGAGTTTTAAAATCTCCAATACAATTGTTTCTTTTTTCCTGAACTTCTGTCAGTTGTTGGTTTATATATTTTGAGGTTATATTGTTAGAGGCACATACTATGATGATTACACGATTGATTCTTTCATCAGTATTTAATGTCCATCATTGGTGTTTAAGATATTTTCCCCTTGGTTTCCATTTTATCCATTATGAAAATCACTATCTTAGCTTTTTGTTCAAAATCATATGGACTTTCTATTATTATATATGTTCAGTCTTTCAGTGTTTTTAAGTTGTCTGTAAATAATATATGGTCAGATTGATTTTTTTTTAATTTGAGAGTTCTCTCTTTTACTTGATAAGCTTAACCTAATTACACTTATCGTTATTTCCATCTTATTCCATAGTTTCCATTTACTATACTTTCTTCTTGTCTCACTTTATAGTTCATGTCCATTTTGAGTTAGTTTTCGTACAAGGTGTGAAACTCAGATTCAGTTTCATTTTTTGGCCTATTGATGCCCCACTGTACCAGCTTCCTATGAAAAGGCTCTTTTTCCTCAATCGAATTGCTTTTGCAGCTTTGTCAAAAGTCAGGTGGCCATAGTTGTAAGTTTAACTTATATCGAAGTACATTTTTTTTAGGGTGCTTGGAAGTGGTATTGTGGTTTTAATTTTGATTTTCACATAGTCATTGTTATTACACAGAAATGCAATGGATTTATGTGTGCTGCTTATTTATTTTTATTCTCCTTTGCTTTCTGTTGGACAGATCAAGTTTTCTCGCATTGATTTAAAAGCTGTATCTTTGTTCTTGTTTTGTTTGCCCTTAGGACCATTCCCAGAGATTTTAGATATTTGTTTTTATAATTTTCACGAGTTTCACTAGGGAGCAGGTCAGTAGAGCTCCTCGGGTCATATCAGAGCTTCCTCACCCAAGCTACCATACTAGTTAACTGGCTTCACCGGAAGCTTGCCTGGGGCAAAGACGTCCAGCACGCTGTCACTCCCAATCCATTACATCCCACTGTGAGTGTCAGGGATGCTGGCTCAATGCATTCATCAGGAGGTGGTTCCAGCCCTGGGCCTGGGTTCCTCCCACTCCCTAGATGTCCCATCTACTACCCCTTTGCTGCATCTGTTAGGAGATGGATCCTGCAGGCCCCTTCTCAGGCACACCTCCTGGGGTCTCTGGTCTATAATAAGCAGCTGTGGCTCTGACAAGCTGGGTATAACCACAAGTCAGGGCCTCCTTCACTATTGACTCACTTGTGCTGTCTTTTTTCAGATTGCTGGTCTTCATTGTCATTGGTACTGAGGCTCAGAACTAGGGCCTATCCAAGCAAAAATGGCCCTTAAAGGCCATCTGGTCCGGTGGCTTTCAACCCCAGCTACACTTTTAAATAAGCTGGGGAGTTTTTAAATTATCAATGTCAGGGTACCCCACTCTAAATCAGTTAAACCAGAATCTCTGAGGGGGCAACTGGATGTTTGTAAAAATTCCCCAGGAGGCTCAAACGTACAGCCAGGATTGAGAACCATTTAATGTTGTCATTTAATCCCTTTATTTTACCGATGCCCAGAGAAGAGAATAGCTTGGCCACAGCTACACAAAGAGTTAGACTCGTTGTATGACTTTAGGCCAATTGTCTCAGCTTCGTCTCACCTCTGTCCCTCTTTATCAAGTACATCCTTACTTATTTCTCTGTCTCATCCAGTTATGCCTATAAGGCTGGCTCAACACAGAGCCGCCTACTTACTGCTATTCATGCTCATGTGAATTTTTTTTTTTTTTTTTGAGGGAGAGAAAGTGCACGCACACAAGTAGGGTAGAGGGGCAGAGGGGGAGAGAGAGAGAGAGAGAGAGAGGATCTTAAGTAGGCTCCACACTCAGTGCAGAGCCTGATACAGGGATGGATCCCATGACCCCGGGATCATGACCTGAACTGAAATAAAAAACCAGACACTCAACCAACTGAGCCACCCAGGCGCCCCTTGGCGAAATTGTTCTTAAACAGCTTCCTCAGCTGTGAGCTCATTCTGAGCTGAACCAACACCTTCTGAGTCTCTGGCTACTTCCCCCACTGGGCTGATAATGGCCTCCATACCCAGCAAGTGCTCAACACAGCTGCCCTCCAAGAACAGTGGAGAACATACAGGGGCACAGGGGGGTTGGGAGTCAGGCCTAGATCTGAATCCTGATTCCACCATGTAACCCCTCCTAAACTTCAGTTTTCCCTCTGTAATATGAGCTTAAAACCTCTACCTTCATTGTTGGGTGTACTGTAAAGCTCTGACTTCTACTTCTCTGCTTTGTGCAGTCTCCTTCCAAGGCCCTGGGAGGGGCTCCCACAGTTTTATGGTCACATTTTTTATTCTTTTTCATAAAGAGAGCTCCTCCCCCAAATGTTATCAGCCTCAGACCCCACCAAATTTGGCTCAGCTCTTCCCCACCCAACAGAGCTGAAAAAGACTGTGTTCATAAAGTGTGGGACATGCAGTAGATGTTCCACAAATGTTACTTCCTTCAGAACAGCCCAGAACAGGGATGCAAAGAGAGACAGAACTATAGCTGGTGTGCTTGTTACATGTCCCCTTTAATGTCTCAACTGTTGCATTCAGCCATCCAGTCCCCCCACCCACCCCGTTCCACGAGTGGCCTCTGGGCTCCAGACACAAGCCTGAGGGAAGCTAAGGCACCTGGCCCTCAAGCGAGGCCTCCTCAGCTCTAATGTGGCTGTGGATCCAGTCAAGGTAGCGGCTGACTTTAGTGTAAACGCCATAATTGTGGAGGCGCCCACAGCCCTCGCCCCAGCTCACCAAGCCCACCAGGAACGAGGTGCCACGGAAGGATGCAACCATAGGCCCCCCACTGTCGCCCTCACAGGCATCCTGTGAGTCCCCAAGGATGCCCGCGCACAGCATGTTCTCAGAGATCATGTTGTGCATGGCATTGATGCACTCGTTTTGAGGGACCACGGGGACCTTGATGAAGTTGAGGACGAAGGTGCGGTTTCTCTTGGCCTCGCTGCGATGGCCCCAGCCAGTCACCACCGTCTCCTGGCCAGCCTGGGTGAGCTCGCGCTCCGCAAGGCCACTGTCAGGGAGGCAGATGGGCACGATGGTCTGTGAGAGGATGGCGGGCTGGGCCAGGCGGAGCAGTGCGATGTCATTGTCTGAGGTGCTTCTGCTGTAGTTGGGATGCATGAGGACCTCCTTGATGTCCAGGTCCAACTCCCACTTCTCCCTGCGCCGCAGGTCATACTCCCCTATGGGGCAAGGGGGGCAGTTGGAGTGGTTGGGGGCAGCACCAGGGTCCACAGCTGGAGCGGACGTCACGCATCCCAGGCACTGCCATGGGCGCCACAAATCTCACATCCCTGCCAGGTGTCGTCTTAAAGGGGTGGAAGGCTGGTTGGAATTGAGGCTTCACTCGATGGGGCAGGGAGGCCTGGCGGCCATGGGCAGTGAGCAGGGAGGCCAGGGACACAGAGAGGAGCCACAAAGGGTGTGTGGAGCTACTGTGGTGCAGAGACACGCCTCTCCTGCCAGCACTGCCGGCCTGAGAGCAACGCAGCGACAAGCAACTGGGGGGGAGCTGACAGGGCAAGAACAGCAAGACACAAGACCCAGAGGGAAGAACCAACAGGACACAGGCTCTGCCGGGGAAGAAAGATCGGATCACAAACCAGAGACAAGATCCTCCCCAGCAAGGCTGATGGCTCCTGGAGGGGCAGGGGCAGGGGAGTTGGAGATTCTAAGCCCAGTGCCACTGGAGGCCACTGGCCATTGGTTGTGTGGCAGTTTATTGCAGGGAATGTGAATTGGTCATTCTCAATACAGCTTTTCCTTCTTTTTTCCGCATGGACAGTGGAGAACCCCTTCAGAAACTGGTACAGAGTGGGGCCCGCACTCAGGGCCCTGGGGACCACTGCAGCTGCCTTGCTGTGGCAGATGCCAGAGTCTCTGCCACTCAACTCCATCAGCTTATCAGTCTGTGTGAAGCATGGCCCTGGAGCCAGGCCATGTAGATCCCTTGTGGGTGTCTGTACCCGACAGCACTGGACGTCCACACAGCCTGCTCCATGTGAGTGGGAGTGAAGAGGCGTGTGTGTGTGTGTATGTGTGTGTGAGACGCCCCCCTCACTTTGCAAACACATGTGTGTAAGCACCTGGGCACCAGATTTGAAGAGAATCCCCACCTGTCATATACCAGGTGTCACTGCGTCTCAAATCCCACCAGGGGAGTGGCTTGGTCAGGGGAGCACTGAGGTCTCTTCTCCCCAGACACCTTCCGTGGAGCTCAAGCAGCCTCTTGTTCAAGCACCCCGAGGATCAGGGTCCCCAAACCTGGCCAGGCTGCTGGCACCACCCCTCCTGGAGGCCTCCGAGGCCCCTCCTGCCCAGCCCCAGTCCATACCGAGCCTGACCATGAGCTTCTTAGAGTCCTCCATGCAGTGGGCCGCTGTCAGCACCCAGGACGTGTGGATGAGCACCGCCCCGCAGGCCAGCTTCTTCTTTGAGTCCAGCAGGATCACCTGGAATGGGAGTGGGCAGTGACATCACCACAACTACCCCTGACAGCTCCAGGCCAGGGCCCATGGCACGCAGCACAGCCGTGGTTCTCAAGCCTGAGGTGCTGGCTGCAAAAGTGGATCTTTCCTGTTCCCTGGTCACACAGGCACAGACCCACGGCCCTTTGCTGGCATTTTCTATTTCTGCCTGTTTTACAGAGTTGGCCTGTGGTAGGGCCTCTCCCCACCTTTGCCCATGCTGTTGCTGTAGTTATTCTCCACAGCACCCAGAGAGTTCTACTCACCCTTGGGGCTCAGGCTGGCACTCAAGTCCCCTGAGGAGCCTTTGAAGCCTGAACGGGGATCCCTTGGGGTTCCATCAGGTCCTGTCCCACTGGCCATCCTGGCTTTGGTCCCATTGAGTCGCTGTGTTTAGGAGCCTGACCCTCCCAGAATCTTTGAGCTCCCCAAGGCCTGCCAATCCCCTGCTTATTGATTTCTGTGCCATCCAATGCCTGGGACCAAGTAAGTGTTAGCACCCACGGTGAGGCTGGAGCGGTATTCAGGGTCAACCATCCCTCCCACCTCTCTCCCAAGCAAAACACCTCTCTCACCTCTCCTCTCCCACCTCTCACCTCTCCAAGCAAAACACCCTGGGCCTCCGCCTAAAATGCCACTGGCAGTGCATTATCTTTCTGGCTCTTTAGTAAAATGATGGCTTGCCTTCCTGTACGTCCACCACATGCCCCTGTGCTCAGCCCATCCAGCCCTGGCTGCTATCCCCCATCAAGTACCTCCAGCTTTCCCCCCAGCTTTCCCTGAAATGGCTCCGCCATTAGCAGAGCCCCCCACCCCAAGCGAAAGCAGCATTTCCCCTCCCCATCTGGGCATCCTGAGTGGGGGAACTCCCAGCAGGGGATCTGTGATTCCTCACCCAAGAGGCTGCTTCTCCTCTCACCTGCCAGGGGCTCTCCCCCCATCCGGATAGCTTCCCATTGACGAGCCTTGGATCTATTTGGTCAGCTTGGCTTGTGTCACGTTTCACAGTCTTGCGCTTCTTCTCCATTCGCCTCCCTGGCCTCCCACAGGGGAACTTCACTGAAGTAGGGGAAGCTGGTGAGCTCCTGCCGGGTACTGCTCCCTGAGACTGCTCCCCCACCTTTGTCAACTTCCTGCCTGCAGCCTAGTTTGCCCCATTGTAGGGGTAAAGGCATATGTGATGCTTAGGGACCCAGTTACAGTAACTTGAAAATCCTCTCTGTTTGACTCTGACAAGAGTCAGATCAAGCAGCATCACTACCCATCCGTGTGTCCTTGGTCAGGTTGTTAAACTTCTCAGAATTCCCAGGGCCACTGGGAGTAATCCCTGAGATACATAAGTAAAGTCTCATGCTGGGATGCCACCAAGCTCTTAACACAGGTAAGAGATTATGGGGAGGAAGTGGTGGGCGTTCCTGGAGAGCCCCCAAAGTAGCTCTGAGCACAGTCGTGAGGTCCTCTGCCAAGGGGAGAGAGCATGTGATGGAGCATGGAGGGCTGGGAAGGCTGCCAGAGTCTGCTCATGATGGACCATGCATGCCAGGCTGAGAGATTTAGACTTGTAGGAGCAATGGGCAACCATCAGCAGGGGGATTGCATAGTGACAGAGAATGGAGACAGCAGCAACAAAATTCCAGAAACCAGACATGGCAGCTGACTATCTGAGAAAGCAAAAATCTCAGCCAGTAATAGGGGATTCTAGGAGTTGACTGCTTTTATTACCAAACACCACCGCCCCCTGCCTCAGTGCTTCCGAATAACACAGTATAGGTAGGACTGCAGACAGAAATGCTGAGTTTGGAAAGGAAACTACTAAAGCCCTAGACCTCTGTGCCAACCCCCCAGTGGCTTGACTCTCTTCTCCAAGCCTGCAGAAGTCCATAGGGGTATTCTCTGCACAGGGGGAACCAGAGACTGTGCAGAGCCACAGGAAAGAGTGATGTGCAAGACTGACCAGAGGGAGTTACCCAGACATCTGCAGCTTCCCTGCTCCATTCCAGGGGGCTGGACTCTTCCCTGCTCTACTCCAGGGGGCTGGACAGCAGGCTGGACCCACCAAAACATGAACCTGGGGGATTCCTCTCAGGAAATGGCCTAAACACCTGAGGGGCTGGGCAGTAGGGATTCTGCCAGGTGACCTGGGCTTTCCAATGGCCTCACAGGAACACCCACAGGCCACCAGGTCCACCAGGCATTTCCTTGTAAGTTCCTGTGAATCTCTATTTCAAAATAAAAAGTGAGACATTTCTTCTAAGTAAATGGATTGGAATATAATGTTGTGGAACACTCCCTGAAAGAACACAAAGTCAAAGAAATGGAAAATAGAAGGATAATAAAATGAAAAGAGCAACCCAGAGGAAAAAGACCTGAATAATAGGATGTCCAAAAAGAGAGAACAGAGAAAGCAGCAGGGAGATTATCAAAGAAATAACTAAGGAAATGTGCCCTGAGGCCGAAGATATGGGTGCACCTAGGGCACTGTAGGTCGAATGACACAAGACCCATGGTGAGGAGCAACCTGCTGGAATTCATTATACCAGTTGTAAAACTCTCACTTCCTTGTACATATACAAAGTTGATAAAATGTATAAGAAGGAGAAGCCAGAGGTATAAGGGGAAATGGGATGCCAGACTGGACAAGGTGTCTTTAGAAAATAAAGCCAGTGGGACCTCATCAAAATAAAAAGCTTCTGCACAGTAAAGGAAATAATCAGCAAAACTAAAAGGCAGCTGACAGAATGGGAAAAGATATTTGCAAACAACATATCAGATAAAGGGTTAGTATCCAAAAATCTATAAAGAATTTATCAAACCCAACACCCAAAAAACAAATAATCCAGTGAAGAAATGGGCAAAAGACATGAATAGACACTTCTCCAAAGAAGACATCCAGATGGCCAACCGACACATGAAAACATGCTCAACATCACTCATCATCAGGGAAATACAAATCAAAACCACAATGAGTTACCACCTCACACCTGTCAGAATGCTAACATTAACAACTCAGGAAACGACAGATGTTCGTGAGGATGTGGAGAAAGGAGAACTCTTTTGCACTTCTGGTGGGAATGCAAACTGGTGCAGCCACTCTGGAAAACAGTATGGAGGTTCCTCAAAAAATTAGAACTACCCTATGACGCAGCCATTGCACTACTAGGTATTTATCCTAAGGATACAGGAGTGCTGTTTTGAAGCGGCACATGCTCCCCAATGTTTATAGCAGCGCTATTGACAATAGCCAAAGTATGGAAAGAGTCCAAATATCCATCAATGGATGAATGGATAAAGAAGATGTGGTATATATACACAAAGGAGAATTACTCAACAATCAAAAAGAATGAAATCTTGCCATTTGCAACAACATGGATGGAATTAGAGGGTATTATGCTAAGCGAAATAAGAGAAAGACAAATATATGACTTCACTCTATGAGGACTTTAAGATACAAAACAGATGAACATAAGGGAAGGGAAGCAAAAATAATATAAAAAGAGGGAGGGAGACAAAACATATGAGACTCTTAAATATGGAGAACAGAGGGTTACTGGAGGGGTTGTGGGAAGGGGGATGGGCTAAATGGGTAAGGGGCATTAAAGGAATCTACTCCTGAAATCATTGTTGCACTACCTGAAATCATTGTTGCACTATATGCTAAATAACGTGGATGTAAATTAAAAAAATAAATTAAATTAAAAGAGAAAGAAAGAAAGAAAGAAAGAAAGAAAGAAAGAA